ATGATGATGATGGATGTACCTGCAAATACCCGCATATATCAATATAGGTGGAATAATTCGAACCAGTAAAACAGCGCAGAATTGCATGCAAATTAGTAAATGTTCATGGTTGTTTATTGATTATAGTTTTCATGGTTAGTAATCAGTACCTCAGACGAACAATATTTCAATGACGATATTTAATTTCGGTTTATCGCTTGTCATAAGACAAAGCGAAATATTTGAACGTTACTAGTGTGGGATGAAAAGAGAAGAGGTTCATTGCTGTACTGTTTAGTATAAACTTGAATAGTGATTTCTAATCATTTTGAAAGAGTAGAATTCCTAAGGTCAACTCTGCCTTATTGCCTCTTTTTTAGATATGATCAGTGATAGTTATCCGTTGGTATATGATGATCAATGAATGTGACAATCGAGTGAAACCTTGGGTGATTAAAGATAAGTTAAGATTTGTTCAGCACCTGAGTATTGTAGTTCATTTAATAGAGTTGTGAACCGATTAAATGGAGGCTTAAAGTTCCAATGCAGGTGTTTATTTTATTCTCAATTATTACTTCGAATCAACTAACAATGTAGCGTAATTATCTACTAGTATTGTAGTGGGCATTGCTGATAACAATGGATATAAGTAGTATATGTTATGAGGGTGGCAGGAATCATAGGGGATTATCAGCAATGGGTAAGGTTTCTGCCAAGAGCAACGCGAGGAATAACGCAGGCGTATTACAGTGGGTGCTGCTGATGAGAATGTATAAATAGCAGATCAAAAGCAAATCGAGAGAGGAACAGAACAGGAAACGTAGCACATTTGCAATGATTGGGTTAGTGCAAGGTGCACCATATGTATTGTTGACATGCCTTAGCAAGGCGTATCTGTAGCCGCGGTGGAACTGATATATCTTCCGAGATTAAAATCCGCTTAATCCAGTGTTGAAGTCGTGGACGTTACCACTGAGGTGTTCTGGCCAAGGTTGATTTCCTATAGAAGTGAAGGATTCAATAAGTCGATTTGATATGTGTGTTCAAATTTCAGGGGTCGGAAAGACCAGTTTCACCGGGGCTACAGATATGCTATGATGATGAGTGTCAGCAATCACAAAACTTAGGTGAAGTAGGCTTCCAGTCGACTATCTCAAACCAACTATGCATAGTAAATATGTTTAGTGTTACTGCTTGTATTATACGGTCGTTGATTGGACCGAATTGATTGGTCTCTATCGGCATATGGGCTCCTGTGAGGTGGTGTATTGGATAGCGCTGTGGCGTTTGAAGCGATCGCTCCCGAGTCAGAATCCCAGTGGGAACAACATCTGGGCTCCAAGAACTGTCCCTCCATTCCTCAAAAAAGACACCAACACGCAACACGGTATGATATAGAAACAATTATACTAAAAACTATAGCCGTTGTACAAGAAGTGGCTTTCATAGCTCGGTGGTGTAGTGGATAACGCCCTAACGTTTGAAGCGATCGCTCGCTAGTTGAAATCCTGGTGGGAACAACATCACTCACTGAGAGACAGGTACATCCAGCTGACGAGTCCCAAATAGGACGAAATGAGCCTTCAAAAGAATGATATAATTATTCGATATTTCTCCCGATGAGAGTCACTGCTGTTAAACCTGTCGATCAGCAGAGTCTAATGCCGCCATCATTTCGGGAAATGCAGTTGGTATCGAGTGTCAGTAAGTGTGTCCATGTTTCAGAGTACACAATAAATTTTTCAATCAATGTCATTCTTTCATTGTCTTTACAAGGAGATACCGTTACTTGATGCATATTGCCAACAAAGAGGAAGGCCGAATCTATATAGTAATAATGATAAATTTCAGTATGGAAGTGGGGCCAAAGAGGTTGAACATGAAGGCAGTTACTCAACGATGACAGTGGATGGAGCTCGCGCTACATCCTGAACTGACAGACGTATGAAATATGAACCACTGGTTTCCGGCTCAGTGGTTCAATGGCCACAGAAAATGAAAGTTCTGGGTTCAATCTTCAGCTGGGTAAGGAAGTGAGTACACACTGCTGAGGAGTCCTATACTAGGACGAAACAGCTGTCCAGTTCTCCCAGGCCTTCACTGTTCCTCCACTTGATGTCTATCTATGATGAATATCAACCAGAAATAATATATTTATCCAAACTCTGTATGGAATGAACAGCCGATGAAAATATATATTACATGGAAACTGATATCCCGCCGGAGATTTGAATCTGCGTCATTCCGTGTTGTAGTCGGCAACGTTACGACTGTGCTATCACTGAGCTTGATGCTCACATCGCAAAATGATCAACAGAATTTGGTTGACACTCAGAGCTAGACAACATGAGACTAGTTGCTCTCCAGTGACCAATGAATTTACCTAATTCAGTCCTATAGGAGCTCAGTCGCGGCCTTAATAGCTCTATGGTAACGTCACTAACTTCACCACTGAGTGACTTGGGTTCTGGTCTCACAGAGGACATTAGTTCCTTGCTGATGAGTGCAAAAAGCATGAAACCTAGTTTAAACAGACCTTCCCACCGATTATTATTTGTCCCATGGGTTCCTAATGGAACATAGGGATTCAGTAGTACGCTTTCAGTGCACTCTCTTCTCTGCAAACTTTTGAACCTGTCTCCACGAAAGCCAGAAGCTCTCATTTCTTCATCGTGCGATCTCCTCCATGTCACCCTCACCTCGGACGTCCAACTCGTCGCTTCCGATCTGGGTTCCGCTCGAGTTCCTGGCCTGACGCGTGATGTCCCCAGTTGGCCCTCTCAGTGTATACCTAATCCATCTCCACTCTCTGCTTCTTCAGGTTAATGAACGCCTGTCTTCCTGTCTTTCCGATCCTGGCTGCTTTGACGTCCTCGTCTGTGCACCTCTAGTTGAAACAGCGCTTCCTAGCCTACGTAGGTGAAGGGGGCTACTTCCTTTAAGTTAATCCCGTTGATGGTGATTGGTGTTTGTTGTTGTTGGTTGGGTATCTTCATCACCTCTGTCTTCTGTACGTTCACCTGAAGGAAGTGCCGTCTTCACTGCCCTGCGTCTTCTGTTAACTTGTTAGTTTTCGCGTGTATATCTTCAAGTTTGTGTGACATTAAACACAAGTGATCGGCCAAATCCAAATCTTCTAGCTTTTTCTCTGCGGTCCATCCTACACATTACTTCCAACCAAACTGACATTCATCAACTTCTGTATTGATCAAAAATTGATTTATTGTTAACAAATATTCTTTTACTGAATGTATCTGAAGTTTGAATACCAATAGTGATATTGTAGACGATATTCTGAAGCATTCATCGATGAATGCCGTTACGAGAGAGAATGTTCTATGCGGGGACTTAACGAATCTCATATATTCGTTATCCAATGATGAATACCTGGGAATTAGCAATACTGGCTGCTTTAGCGTGTGGAAATCAGTTTACTTGCTTCTATGGAACTAGGTGTATTGGTATCTACCACAGAGATAGATTGTACAACGTGAAGGTTAGGACTTTTCGACATGATGCAGTTAAAGGTGAATTTAGATCAAAAGTCCCATTCTACAACAAATAGTCGACAGAGGACAAACTATTTTAAAAGATTTGTTTCTTGCAGTTTATAGAAATAAAAAGGAGCTTTTGAAAGCTTTGAGTAAACCTGTGCTATGCATTATTAAAGATTAAATTAAACGGATATGGAAGACAGAATTGTTTATTTCCTAAGGCTTTTACGTAGTCTTTCAACTCATTTATTGATTTGTTGTTCTGGACACTGTTGCTACTTTCACTGATAGTTATTTCAGCATTCTCTTAAGTATTCTTCATTTCCACTCATACTGAATCTGATCCAGTTGGTGAAATACTACAGAGTAACCTGAATGGTTTCCAACTACTTAATTTGTTCAGAAGTAGTAACTTTTACTAGAGATAACACCTTGTGATCTTGGTTATAAAAAGTAGTTTTCATCAGAAACTTTGCTAACTCCACAAATTGTTCAGTCTTACATGAAATCTATAATGACGCCCCCGATTATAACACTTGTTGACTCTGTAAGGGAGAAAGGCAGTGATCATCATCTTCCTGGAGATTTCAGATACACTTCATTGACTATTACCAGGAAGTATGAAGCTGAATTCCTGTCAACCATCTTCAACCATCTAACATCAGTTCAACTGCTTATTTATTTCAAGAAATATCAACATCAACTACTGTTGAACAATCAATAACGAGAATTAATCAGTCAATAGGTACGAGGTTCGAGTCTCAGTGGGAACAACATCACTGGGGTATAAGTACATCCAGCTGACGAGTCCTAAATAGGAAGAAATGCACGTCCTGGATTCTTCTACTACCCATAACGAACCAATCAAGTTGCCATAATTAATATTCAGGCAATATTGAGGCATACGCATAGGAGCCCATATGCCAATAGAGGTCAAACAATTCGATCCAACACAACAAACAACGGAGAATAACAAGTATGTGAATAAATAGTAATAACTACTACCCGTTGTACAAGGAGTGGCTATCGTTCCTCCCTGACATAGAGGATAACACCTTGGCGTTTGAAGCGATGTGTAGGAGCTTCAAATCTCAGTGGGAACAACATCACTGGGTTACAGGTACATCCAGCTGATGAGTCCCAAATAGGACGAAACACCCATCTGAATTCTTCCGATAGCCATAACCAAACAAATTATCATAATAAATCAGTAATTAATTATAATAAACAATTAAGAATTGAATGTTCAACAATAGAAGTGTTGTTTTGCTGAAGTTCATTTTTTTCTAAAGGTAAGCAATAAAATAAACGTTTCTTTATCATTGAGTGGATAGATTAAGTAAATATTGAATAAGGTCAAAGGGAGGGGGGGGGGCAAGTGAATGATTTTTCCTTTTTTTTCTATTTTTATTCACTGTTACAAATATCAGTTGAATACAATATTCTATCAATATATACTTGATATACTTAAAGCAATTGGCTGTTTGTAGAGTTCTAAGCAGATGGTCACATTCAATGGATGGATAATTATGTTCCTTTAATTATTGATGAAAAATTTGTAAACCTATTGGTTATATTACTACTAGTAATAGTGTTGTTAGTAGTATTATCAGTATTGCTTTCATTATCCTCAGGAATTAATGATTTATACACTGTACAATCTTCATTTTTAATAATTTCTTCACATTGACTATCTAAAATTTCTTCATTAACTGGATTATTTAAATTGGATACCGTAGTTAGTGTATTTATTATAGATGAATTTTTTATCTTATTTGGTGTTGTTGATCTTGTTGACTGAAATAATAGAGAAGATGTTTCATTGAAATCTGATCTAGAATTGAAAAAGGAAGCAGCTGCAACTAACTGGCACGGTGTTAAACATCCTGTTGCTGCTGCTGCTGCTGATGATGATGTCACCTTTGAAGGGATTGTTGTTGTTATTGTTAAATTTAATGATTTATTCAAATTATTTAAGTTTAATTTAATCCAATTTTCATTATTTCCAGTATTATTTTCAATATTCGGACTAGTACTACTAACATCGATATTAGTAGTATTACTCATAACAGTAGCAGTAGTAGTAGTAGTAGTAGTACGATCAGTTCCAGTTAAAAAATTTTGTAAATATGATGGTGATGTATTATAATTTGTATAATAATTTGCATTTGGAACAAATGGATAACTTGTAAATGGATTATTCATATAATTCCCTGATATCATTTGATGTTGATTCCCTGTTGAATTAGCTAATTCACATAATTTAGATCTAGGTGATATATTATCATTTCGTTCATTTTCATATGGTAATTCAATATTACAACATGATATAGGGATTGATGTTGAAAAAGGTAATTGATTCGTTGAATAATTGAACATTGAACGACCACTTTGTTTTAATGCATAATTATTAGAATTCAATAGTAAGTCATTATAACCGAAGAAATCAAATGGTGTATCATTAATCGATTGATGATGATGATGCTGAGGAGGAGGAGGAGAGTGATGTAACTGATTTTGTTGTTGTGACATTGAAACAGGATTCTTAATCAAATGTAATTGACTTCTATCACAATTGAAATCATTACTATTTCGATTACATATTTGTGATTTTATACGTGGATCAGGACTGTTTAACGTTATTTTTGTATTATCTATTAGTGTATGCATAATATGTGAATGATTTTCATGCTGATATTCATCAATTGATGAAGATTCTGAACAATTTGATATATCTGAATTAATTGAATGATGATCAGATGAATTAGGATCAAGTTTACGATGATTTATAGAATTTGTTATATTCATAGATGATGGTAATATTAAGCGATTATCTAATAGATCATTAGTTGTTCGACGATTAACTATTGTACTACTCATTGATAAATGATTTGTATTGACTGTATCATTTCGTAGATCCATTGTATTCGGTGTCGACTGATGATCACTGATTGATGATGTCTCTTTATCTTTTTGTGCACGTTTACACTTATATCGATGATTTTGAAACCATATTTTCACCTGAAATGAAATTTAATTTCTTGGTTTTATAAGGATTGATTAATTTCATACAGGACTCCTAAGCAATGGGTCTCATGATGTTAAAACTATCAGCTTTTATGGTAAATACTGGATTGGATTTCAATAGTGTCCACTTTTCCTTACTTTTGTCAATTCACTATATTATATGAGAGTAGTTCAACGGTGATCAACTCTTTAAAAGGGTCATAGATACGCTGATCAGTGCTTACAACTTTTCAATCCTTCTCTAAGCGGTATCATTTCGTCATCAATACTAACTTGATAAAAAGAAATCTATGCCTTCTGAATAGAAAAACTTTTTTACTTAGGGTGAATAAGTTCACAAGATCTTATATTATGTAAGCAAAACAATAAAACTTCCAGACTGTTTTACTCTAACAGAACTCACGGAAAATGGTTGGCTTTATAGGTAAGTAGACGTATCCATATCAGTATGAGTTAACAAATTCACTAGATGATTCTATGCTGGGTTGATTTGCTGAATTACTGAATTCCGAGCAACATCCTTCAGATAACATGAGCTAAGATACTCAATTATTATTATTATTATTACTTCAAAGCACAGACAAAATATAAAAAATGAAAACAAACTTATTTCTCGCTGGAATCTGAAAGACGAAATGACGTCGGTTGCTGAATACCTACGGGAAGACAAGTGGCCGATGTATCTTCCCTGTTCTCGATAAAACCGAAAGTAAGGATGGAGACATGGAATGTCCGCACAATGTCTGAAGCTGGCTGGCAAAGTTCCCCAGATTGCAAAAGAGATGAGAAGATATAGTATAGAAGTGTTAGGAATCTGTGGAAGTAAATGGAATGGAAGTGGACTGTCTAAACTATCAACTGGAGAGGAGTCAATAATCTACTTCAGTGCTGTCACTCAGACGACAACCACGAGCACAGCACACTGGGATTTGGAGTGACTATCATGAGGTCCCCAACAGCAAAGAAACCTCTCTCGCATGCAGTGGGAACCAATCTCCTCCTGCAGAATCAGGATCATGTCAGCAAGATTCAACTAAAAGGAAGGAAAGTCACAATCATACAGTGCTACACTACGCTATGCACCTACAAATATGCAGACAAGTACCAAACAAGAGAAGAAAGAGGAATTATATAGACAACTGCAATCAGTACAGGACAAGAATTCAGTTGGCGTTATCAAAATTCTAATGGGTGACATGAATGCCGAACTGGGAGCGGATAACACAGGAAGAGAACTCATCATGAGTCAACAGGCATTCGATGAAATGAACGGGAATGCAGAACTGTTTGCAGATTTCTATGCATTCAACGATTTGGTGATTGAAGGCACTCTGTTCAAGCACAAGGATAGTCACATAGCTACATGGATTTGATTTCACCAGAGGAAACACCGAAATTCAGATAGACTTCGTCTCATTGTGAAGAAAGTCGAGACACAGCCAGTCTACTGGACACAAGATCAAGGAAGGTGAGCACATGTAGGTGGTTTGCACCACTCACTACCTAGTGCAAGGAACCTACCTCCAAAATCAGGTTGAAAGCCTTCAATTCAAAGAAGCCGGTGATAGACAATCATAGTTAAAGTTTAACACCCAGAACAGAAACTGCACTGAAGAACGAAACTACAGAGGACATCTCCACATCAGCCAACAGTACAAAATGGAAGGCATTGAGGAACATCTCTGAGGAAACTGGTGTAGAACAACACTAAGACTCTTTGAAAGAGATGTGGGACGAAACCTGTATAACCGTATTAGCAAGAAATAACAGGACAATGAGTGGATCTCGACGGACACATGGAGTGAAATGGCGACGTGTTACTGAAGCCCTGTCTCACTGGGAACGCAAGGGGCAAATAATAATCGTTAAAAAAATTATAGTGAAGCAATCTGTCTTCGATATGATGATACATGGGATCTATGAGAAATGCACTACTTAACTGAAATAAGTAGTATAGGACTGCTTATTTTGGTCCGTAGAGTTGGCTAGCTCAATCAAAGGGATTTAAGTATTCGACAGGCGTCTCACTTATAAGGTGTGCACCCGGAAACAAAAATATTTTTCTAACCACCCTTATTGTGGCTAGCTGCAATTCCACTGTGCATTAGATCGTATAAAATCCCTTCAGTACTCCGGTTATTCGAGGAACTGTAGTGGAAATTTGCATCACGGACTGTATGTGTGAGTGTCTCACAAACACGTGGTCTAAGGTTAGTTCAATAGTCTTCACCTGAACTTAAGAACAAGTTCTTATGACATCTAGTACAGTCCCACAGGGGATGAATAGCTGAGTGGTGAAATCATTGACTGCTGGACTGAGTGATATGGAGTCGAACCTCAGGTAGAACATCAGTTCTGTCATGATTGTAGATACACCTTACTGACGATTGTCAACAAGCCCGGAACTCTATGTCCACAGCTTCCTGCCGATTGTCTCCATTGGAACTTCGCAAGTCACCTCTTGAAGCTAGTCATCAATGATGAATTAGTTACCTGTGTGAAGCTTTCCTCACTTACATCAATAAGAAAGCCATTGGCAGACTGGTAACTAATCTTATACTTAAGTAGTCACTGAGCCTACATTGATCGGAAAGATTATGTAACCGTTTAGTGGTTGAGTTAGAATAGCTTTCTTTCAATTGTTAGGTTGACAATATGGTTGATCCTGCAGGAATCCATTATCCGTCTAACTGACTAAATGTAACGTGATTGAGAAATTTTGTAAACAAAACTGATTTATCATATGGTTTATGCTACGTCATCAGTCATTATTTACGTAATGGATGGAAAAAAAATGCTATTTTTCTCAAATTATTTTTGAGTTTTACTGTTTTGTTATGACGTGATCAATCATGATGATAAATTAAACCTTATCGTGTCAACTAATTCAGTTGAAATTTTTTTTATTGTTTTCATATGTTGCTTTAGTGCATATTTACATGTACATATCAATGATCGCATTCTAGAATGACAATTCCTCAAGGCAAGATGAGATTTCTCACGAAGTTATAATGAGAAGTAGGCATTGTGCACCATTTGATTCTGATCCCACGGCTTAATAGTCTTGTGTTGACCTTAACTTCGTGATTTCACTTCCTAGCGGGGTCACGGATATGCACTGCTGAGGAATCTCATACTGGGATAAAACAGCTATACAGTGCTCTTGAGCTTTCAGTCGTTCTTCAACTCATGTCAGTCCATGATATATTTCTATTACTATTTGTCCCTTGTGTTTCTAGTGGAACATACGGCTTCACTAACACGTCGCCAATTCACTCTCTTCTCTCCAGTCTTTTCAACCTGGCTCCACCACTACTCACAGGCTTTCATTTCTTCCTAACACCATCTCCATGTCAGTCTCACCTCGTAGGTCCAGCTCGTCGTTTTCCATGCAAGTTCCACTCGAGGGCTTGGCCTGGTCTGGCACGTGATGTCCCCGAATGGTTTTTGCAATGTATGTACAGTCCATCTTCATTTTCTCCTGCATATTCGTTGAGCGATGGGTTGTTGGTTGGTTCGGTGCCAGCTAGAGTGAGTTCCTTGTTGTTTATTCTTTCTAGCCATCTGATCTGATCTTCAGTATCGAGTCAGTGTAGGCGACAGCTATTGATGTATGATGTCTGCAGTTTGTTGGAAATGCTTTTCGTAACACAAGTCTCTGAGCCATACTGAAGCACTGACTTGACTGAATTAGTGTTGAAAATCCGGATATTGTTCACGCTTTATGCTGAATGCAGAAGATCTGCACATGGATTTCAGGTTAATGAACGCCTGCGTCTTCTGTCAACTTGTTAGTTTTCACGTGTATATCTTCAAGTTTGTGTGACATTAAACACAAGTGATCGGCGAAATCTAAATCTTCTTGGTTCTTTTCCGTGGTCCAGCGTATCCCCCTCTTCTCGCTCCTCATGGTTTCCTGCATGACAGTCGTAAATTTGCACTTATGCAACACTGATAAGTGGTTTTTAGTGACAAGTAGGAAGCTTTTATTGAACTGGAGTTTCTGAAGTAACTCCCTGATGAAACTATAAGTTAATGCCGTGAGTATGTGATGTTTATTGATTCACTAGTGAGTGAACTGTGTTATCCTCGCAAAGTGAACTACTTAACTCCAGGTGATATTGAACATTTGAGTGTGATGAAGGTAATCAGCAGGATACCCTGGTTTTTCTAGGTTCCATGACTTTTCAGTAGGTCGTATGTGCAACGTCGAGGGGACTGATGTCCCACCTGAGATCTAAACTCACCTCACCTATTGCTGTAATCAACAACGTTATCATCTAACTATTCATGGAGCAAATCAGATTCCTAACAATCTGAGATTCTTTCCTGTTAATTTATCTGGTATAAAATACTCGTCTGTATACACACAAATATGATACATATTTATTAATTTTTTCATTATAAGAACAGGAAAGGAGGAACTGCATTTTTGAATTAAAAAGATTGACTGACATTCATCACAGAATCTGTATCAATTCGATGTGAATTACAGCATGTTTCAACTTGTTGGCATAAGCGTTTCAATCAGTACTTTTTTTTCTTAGTGAACCTTGAAACTAGTAGATGAAATCAATCATTCTCTTTATAGGCATAAAACTGTTTCATACCTCCATGAACTCTCACTGACGAACGTTTCATTATCTAATTGGACAGTATCTACTAAAAGGATGAGATTTCAGATTGACTGATTCTGAGGAGTATATAAAAGGGTAAACATAATGAACGTGTATGTAATCAGCTTACCTGTGTTGGTGTTAAATTAATCAATTGTGATAAATGTTCTCTTTCTGGAGCAGATAAATACTTTTGTTGTTTAAATCTTCTTTCTAATTCGTAGACTTGAGCTTGTGTAAATAATACTCGGCGTTTTCTACGTTGTGATAAACCACGAAAATTACTTGTTGCTGTGTGTATACCAACTGAATGTCCTGTATGCCCAACAGCAACATTATGCAAAGAATGCATAGCAGCGGCAGCAGCTGCTGCCGCTGCTACCGATACACCACTAGTACCACTACCGACTGTCACACCTGTCATATTATTTCCAACGCAACCTGTCTGTGATTGAATCTGCTGTAAATGATATGGATGATGAGGATGGAATGATGAGAATGATAAGATTGTGAATTTAATGTAGAATTGAATGGATGTGAATTCCATGGATATTGATTAGATTGTGAGTGTAGATTACCTCCACCAGTGTTGACTGCCACAGCTGCTGCAGCTGCAGCAGCGACGGCTACAGCTTTCTGATGCTTTTCATAGGCTAACATAGCGGCATGATTATTACTGCTCATGTTACTACTGTCATTATTACTATTATTATTAGTAGTAGTAGTAGCAACGGTATTATTCATATGAAATGTATTCATAGGTGAATTATGGTAGTCTAATGTGTCAATACGACGGTTAGACTGAATTGTATTTATCGGTGAATTACAGGAGACATTATTTGAACATCGTCCACGTGTGAATCGATTATTACTAGTAGTAGTAATAGTAGTAGCATTGATAGTGTTGTATGGTTCAGTACCAATCGGCAATGACACGGTACTCCTTCGACTACTGCAGTCGTTGCTGAAGACGACGATGATGACCTTGGACAATTGTTTCGTGTTCTTGTAGAAAAATTTGAATTCAAGAATTCATTTGACCCACTCGAAATATGATGCATATTGTTATTATTATTATTATCATTATTACTATTAGTAGTAGTATTAGTGATATGCGACAAATTGTAATTTCGATTGAAACCAGTTGGGCTAAGATTCCCAGGATAACCACTAATCATTGCAGCACTAGTTACACCCATTAAACGTGAAACTAGAATATTTTAATAAAGAAAGAGGAAATCTTGTCAAGTTAAGTAATCATGATCTATTTTTTTTCAAATAAAGGTGGTATACATAAATAATCATTGAAAGATGCTTTAAAAAACATAATGACAAGAATATTTAAGTGTCACCTGTATAGTGAAGAAGAATTTTTAAGCCATTAAACCAACTGTGGGATAATTGAGGGTTAATTTGAGACTAACTGATGAATTCTCATGTACACATACTATTGAACGGTGGTCGAACTCACTGAGGACACCTTAATATTGGATGCGAATACTGTTCTGTTCTTGAGCTACTTATCTGTGGCTTAGAATCCCTTCATAATTTTTATTGAACTAATGAAAATCGGTCTCCTTATAGTTTATTTACACTGAAGCCATCCATCATCCATCCAGGTCCACCTGGCACTAAGCATTACTGCGTAATTGTCCAAGTTGCCACACCTCATATCACCACATCAAGTAAAAAGATATTGAGGTGCAAGATGAATAAGAGAATACAGTCCAAAAAAATATAAAGTACAAAAAGAGAGAAACAAAGAATGAGAAAGTTGTGAGATTCGGTATAGCGTCGTTGAGATAAGCATAATGTGTGTATACATCTGCCCCACTGACATCGCTACTCACCAATATCAACTACAGTCAGTCTACAACCACTGGTTCCTCTTGTTCCACCAACCCAAACCGGCTGCCTAGTCTGCATCGCCCCCCACATCGCTCAAACCAACAGTCAGAAACTTCATACATTGGTGCCATGTTTTAGTATGGCCATCTCGCGGCTCCCTCCAGCCTCGAACTACTTCAGCCAACATTGTGTGATCAGGCAATCAGTGACTAGGCATACATAACACCTGTCCCAACCAGACATCTCAGTCCATCAAGGTTCACAACCTAGTCAACAGATTTACCTCTACTCCATCTCGAAAACTCTACACCTACACCTCACTTCTGCATTACTCACGTGCTGACACCACACAATACGGCCTACACTACCAAGGCAACGGTGGTCAAACAACACCTGAACCCACAGCTTTCTCATGTCTTCCACCTTCAATGGTCATGTTTCACAGCCATACAGTAGGACAGAGTCGACTGCTGTGCAGTACACACAACCCTAGTAGACAATCGGATATCACGGCGGCGTCACAGGTGGCATAAATTGGCAAAAGCCAATCCAGCCTTTTGTATCTGTGCAGAAATTTCATCGACAACTGATCCACCAGGGTAGATCTGATCCTACTTCCTAGGTAAGTGAAGTAGTCGACAGACTCATCCACTTCACTCACTCTCTATTGTTAGCTGTGGCACTGTTGAAGACCAATCCTGAAGCAGCAAGATCATTTGTGTAGCAATGGTGATTAGTAATACGCTTACTAGAGAGGAATTTCCAGCTTTCAGTGGCAAGCACTTTCTCCTTTACTTAAATGAAAACCTACCAGTTGGATATGAATATTCTTTTCTCTATTTTAAGTTTAGCCTCATATTTGACATATTTATAACTCATAGACACAGACGTTGAACAATTCAGCCTTATATAACAACGAGAAATTAAAACTATTGAAAAACAACGACTGATATCCATCCATCTCACAAGAGGTGGGTAGGGGATAACTTTTTGGCCATTGGAACGATTAGTCCCGAATCCCAGTCACATTAGAGACAAAATCACAGATTTCGGTGCAGGTACACTCAGCTGATGAGTCTTGAGTAGAACGAGACGAGCGTCCTAGATTCTATGGCTAATCATCAACATGGATATAAGCTTAGAAACACTTGACCGCCTTTGTAGACACTGGACAATGAGGTGTATTTGAAACCTTAGCGAAATTCACATTCCTTTACGGTTGCTAAGTGTATGTACATAACTGATATACTCAAGTGTAGAAATACTTCAACAATCAGTACGCTGAACGATTTGTGAGGTAAGGTGCTCTCAGTCAATGTTGACGTTGTCTATCTCTGCCTCTCACTCTCCTCTATCTTTGTGTAACACCTTTTTTCTCTAATTAGGTCAATTAAATTGGGATTAATAATCCCAGATACCATTTTCTTTTCCATTACATTATTACACTTTACATACTAATTTCACTTGGAAAAGAGATTAGCCATAGTTACTATGATCATTTTCGCATGAGTACGTGAGTATCTTTCAATCCCCTCCATCAGTCAGTAGTAACTTTCACCATTTGAGTTATTAAATAATTCATTCCACTGTAGATGTTCTACAAGGCATTACTACTGTGGTAAGGGTGACACAAACAGGGAGCATAATCCGTTCATTTGTGCTACAGCTGATGTTGTGTGTGTGGTCAAGCCTTCACCAACCTCACACACACACACAAACATAGAGATAGTTGTTCTTATGACCTCAGTAACTAAGTGAAAAACACAGCAATTCATTTTGTTCAGCTTTTTCCACTTATAATGGTGTTTTTGAGAGGCACTTATCCATCATTGTGTAATTAATTGTTTCTTCATTCACTAAGTGGAAAAAAAATACTGTAGAATGCTCATATTAACAATACTACAACTATTAATACTACTCACATTATTAATACTACTATTACTATGTCAATTACACCAACCAATCAAAGTGTGGTAATAATGTCGAAACTAATTTGATCAATTTTCAATATTTACTTATTCAATGAAGTCACATAACCCAACGATTATTTTCTGTCGGGAAGACGATGGATGGGGAAATGTCGTTGGTAAGCTTGAATACATACGAATATTGATAGTGACACGTGTATTTCAGGTGATCGATCACTCACTAACACACACACACACACACACACATGCATAGACTTGAGAATGTAAGTAAGTCATCACAATGGTCTAGTTGAAGTGGAAAAGAAAACGAAATGAAAACATGATTACGTAATACGATGATTTTGTATTTCGTTAATTGAGCATAATTACTGAGTGAAATGAGCATAAAAGTGATTGTAACTTGTTTGTGTGTATTGTGTGTGTTCGTGTGTATTTGCGCGCTAGAAAGGAATGTAATGAACTCTAATGTTTACATTTTCTAAAGTACAGTTTAGAAATCAGTTATCATTCATGAAATAAATTTATTTTGGGGTTCGTGCTGAACAGCTGTTTCGTCATCAAAAGTGTGTAATGACAACCTCACTATGAGTCGAACTGTAGACATTCAAACGTGTAGGTTACTATTCACATCTGGTGGACCAATGACTAGTGGTCCATAGTTTTTAATTCTGTCGGTTTCCAAAGGATTTGATTAACCCCAGCGATCAAGATTTCTCATTAAAACATTGGCATATCCACAACTAATTAGTAAAACAGTAGTACTTATGTATTGATTTGGACTATCACACTTAAAAACGGAAATACTGCTGGTCATAGTGTGGTTAATAGTTTGTATCGTACATATACTTTGGTACTATGGAAGATTACCTAGTTTGAACCGATTGTTAACATTGGAAAGCGTCAGTGTGTCAGTAATTGGATAATAACATGATTTTTGATTGTCTGACTATAAAACATTAATCACTTATGCCAGTTATCATGAGTAGATCTGTAAGATTCCCTGAACTTTGATTCTATGCTTGTTGGTATTTGTCAGCAAGATATATCTGTAAACACGGGGGAAGTGGTGTTCCCCTAGTGGTTCCAACCTTTTACATACAGAATGGAACAAAATGTCAATTATTATTTGTCCCTTGGGTTCCTAGTGAAAAATAGGGCTTCACTAGCACGCCTCCATTCCACTCTCTTCTCTGCACTCTTTTGAACCTCTGTCCATGACTGCGCAGAAGCTTTCATTTCTTCGTCACATGATCTCATCCATGTCACCTCGCCTCGGACACCCAACTCGTCATTTCCCATTTGGATTCCACTAGACGCACGGGCCTGGCGTGTGATGTCCCCAGTTGGCTTTCTCAGTGTATGCCCAATCCATCTCCACTTTCCTCTTTTACATATCTCTTGGGCGATAGTTTTTACTTCTTTGATTCGTTCCCAGAGTTCTTCCTTGCTTATTCTTTCTGGCCTTCTGAGCTTCAGTAACGAGCCAGCGTAGGCAGTTGTTGATGTATATTTGTAGTTTGTTGAAAATGCCTTTCGTAACGCGCCAAGTCTCTTAACCACCACATGGAAGCACTGACTTGACTGAATTAGTGTTGAAAATCCGGATGCTGAGTGCAGAAGATCTTCACACTGGTTTCAGGTTAATGAACGTCTGTCTTCGTGTCTTTTCCGATCTTGGCTGGCCTTGACGTCATCGTCTGTGCCGCCTGTAGTTGAAACAGTGCTGCCTAGATAGGTGTAGGTGAAAGAGGCTACTTCCTTTAAGTTTTTCCCGTTGATGGTGATTAAAGCTTGTTATTGTTGTTGGTGGCGTTGGTTGGGTATCTTCATCACCTCTGTCTTCTCTACTTCAATAGGGCATTAGTTATTTGTCGTTTCAATAAGTCGATATGTATACTTCAATCATTTTTTTCGTTAAGCATAAAACAGCAACGTAGTCACTAAGATAACACTTTAACTCGACTAACGAAGGGATCATCCATAGAGTACTCATCAAAGTATTTTGATCGAGTTTTAGAATATGGCCAATTAGCTGATGGACAAGAAAATACGACGCATTGATTTTGATTGTCAGATGTTGACAGTTCATCGACGACAAGCCATATGATCTAGGTATTCTGCGTTCTTTATTCTACAGTCAAATAACATTTAATCCTTTTCAATATTGCTACTGCGAACTGCAGTTTTCTCAAATATAATACGAAATGTCTTCTATAAACTATAAACCTTTAATTTCTTAAACGACCAGATAAAACTGGTCACTTCTAATAGGATTTCTAATTCAAGTACTTCCAGTTGAAAGAATTTTTGCCTTCTAGAAGGTAATTCTTTCTTAACTCACGTTTCATTCTATTATTTCCTGCCTTTTCATTTATGTACTACTGTTGTCTCATATATATATAATCCATCTGCATCCTTTCTGTTGTTATTCTGTCGATCGTTAATGATACATCAGAGATTATCGAAGTAGACAATTTGAAATATGCGGATATTAATTGAAATTTGTTCATTTATTTACTTTAAACAAGTATTCAAGTGAAATGCTAAGAAATATGAGATAGGGGGGTATACCATTCTTCAGATAATTATTTTTAGCCAAAGCCAATTGAATTGCTTACTTGATAGTGATTAGGAGTGAGGACTCGTCAGCTGGATGTATCTCCTTCTCAGTAAGTGATACACCACTCCAGTGGCCATCACTTGAAACGCCAAAGTGTTGTCCACTTGGTTACTGGGGCATCACAGACACCTTTCTATCAGTCTGATGCAATTTGACCATGGAAAATCACAAGTATAAAGGAATATAAGTCAACTGAATGTTGTTGTCGTCTCCGTCGACTGGCCTATTACGTTTACATGGGATTCTCAACTAGGCTGGAATTAGGGTGGCATTTAAACCTACAAACTCACTTAGAGATAAACTATGTCAACTGAAGGATCTGATAGGACCAATTCAGGAAAATAATATGATCCCTGTACTAGGTCAGACTAGCCGACTGGGGTTAGTTAGATTGTCAGAACATTGTAATTTAGCCAAATGTATCATGATAATCCGACAAGATCGATGGTCTAGAAAGAAACTCCGCTATTGTAATGCATGCATTGACACAAAACCACACAATAGGATGGGTGGGATACAATCACTGTACTTAAGTTCAATATAATTAGGTGGATAGAGAGACTGGTTGATTACTGAATCTTTGTTCATCGAATCAACCAACACCAGACACATGTAAGGGAAATGACGCAACACTCATGCATACCAGAGATATGGAAAATTTGCTACCAATAAAACAATCATGTGAAGTGACATAACTATAAAAACCAAATGTCGAAAATTGTATGACTGCATTGATATGATTATGAGTAATAAGTTCTGCTCGAAACGTCATCCAGTAAATAATACGCTATCACGGTGTCCTAAGTCAAATAAACAAATCCAATATGGAATTACGTTTTACTCTAGTGCACAAGTTTACGCTTGTATCAATAAATATTGTTGTTTCGGTTCCTCATGGATGAAAACACTTCTTCGCGACTTCTCAACTGTGCACATCTGGAACGTATGATGTGATCTTGTTTGCACAAGTTTTATATAGTGTTAAATATTACCATTGTGCATAAATAATTGCTTACCATATTCATTATATTCATTGTTCAATCGAGGATCATTAGCAGCAGCGGCAGCTGCCGCTACACCATACCAAGAAGATGCAGCTGCCGCAGACACAGCATTCACTGAATTCAATACACTTGATTCAATTGGATTCATGTCAAGTGGAGTAGAATTGACACCGAATTCATTCGGATTATTATTATTATTACTATTAGGATTTATTGTAGAGTTTTCATCCAGTAATTGATTAGTTTGTTGTCCAGACCAGAATAATGCTGCACTCATACGATTATTATAATTGGACATTGAACGATGAGAGATAAATTCACTGGAATCATTTGTTTGAGGTGAATGTTCAATCAGATGGTCTGTAGACAATTTTAAATTGTTTACTTGATTAGCTATCACTTCATTGTTATTATTATTATTGTTATGACTATTGAAACTTTGGGCCCTATTCAAGTTTTTCAATGTTCAATATTGAGAAGAAAAATGAAAAGAAAGAAATTTTTAGTGAATTCGATATTGTATATTTGTTTAAATTTAGTTATTGAAGGTAAAACAGAAATGATCTGTGTATATGTGAGATAGCCATGGTTTAGCAGACTGGTTCTACTGATATCCGGTGATGATTGAAGTAGGAATGAAAGCCTATATTGTAGTATGACTCAAACTAGTGGACTTTTAGGTAATCGGTCAAAAATGAAATTGACCTAGATTATCTTCATGGATAGAATCGTGACTGGTTGTAGATTTTCAACCATTTTAGAAGTATAATGTTATTGCCTGTATTATCCTGTCGATGATTGAACCGAACTGATTAGTCACTACTGGTTATTAAAATTATACGTGTTTTACAAGAAGTGGCTATCATGAGTCGGTGATATTGTGGACACCGTTCTGGTGTGTGAAGCCTTCTCAGTCAAGTTCGAGTATCATTGGAAACAGTATCAATCATTTGAAGGCAGGCATGTCCAGCTGATGAGTCCTAATTAGGAAGAAACGCGGGTATTGGATCCTACTGCTAGCCACTATTCATCATTAATTCTAGAAGCATGCTACTAATTTCACTTGAAGACAATCTCTACATGAATTAGACAATTCTTTTTCATCGATTACAGCTCTATTATTTGTTGATATAATTCTTCATTGTTATACTGGAATGAATTGATCGACCTCTGTTGGCATATGAACTCCTATATTGGATGCCTAAGCATTATCCGAACATTAATAGTTATGACTGACTTGGTTGTAGTTAACAGTAAAACTCATGGATGCGCGTTTTGTCCTATTTGGGACTCGTCTACTGGATGTACATGTACCCCAGTGAAGGATATTCTTCCTAGTGAGTCGCAAACCGCCTACCTATCGCTTCAAACACTAAAGTCTCTCAGTGGGAACAAGATCACTCGCTTGAATGTAGGTACATTCGTTTGATAAGTCCAAAATAGGACTAAATCTGAGTCCTGAGTTGAGTAAAATTAATGGCTATGCAGTGATTAGTCACTGGGAGGGTAATTAACTTCATATTGTTTAGTCCTAAATGGTCACAGAATTCTGTTGATAATTTTGCAATATAGCCACCAAACTAGGCAGCTCAGCATCGTGATACACTTTAATAGATATTAGTTGGATGGAAGTAGCTGGCAGGAAAGTGTGGACATAAGTTTTGCGTTTGTTGGTACTCGTCAGAAATGCTTATTTGCAACCCCGAGGGAACTGATGTCCTCTGTATGAGATTCGGACTAGCGTCACCCAGTACTTTAGTCAGAGACACTACCAGTGTGCTATTCGGGCCGTGACTGACTTCCAGTAGGACTAGATTAGATATATCGACTGGTCACTGGAGGGAAACCAACTACATGTAGTTCTAAGTGCTGATCAAATTCTACCTGCCGTTCGTGATTTATGAGTTCAAATCTCAGGTAGAGAAACAGTTCCTTTGAGGTTGGAGATATGCACTGCTAATGTGTGCCAAAAAGCACGAAACCAGGGTCGGCTAGGTCTTCTATCGATTGTTTTCATCTAATTAATAAGTGAATATATATTTGAAAGAAACGCTGTACACAGAACTGATAGGGTGAACTATCAGTATGCTACTAGTTCAGTCGACAGGTATCATGTAAATAAACAGTTCTGACAACTACGCTTGTTATTACAATCTTAGGGTCATTTTTTGTCCGGTTACCATGCTCGTCCTCATACACTAGGATCACCTTAGCAGTAGAAGCTGTTTCACATGTTTCAGGCAACAATTAATGAACAACTTTTCTATATAAATTTGCCTCCACAAACAGTTGATTATAAGTTACATTATTCAGTAGGAATGTGATTGTCCATAAATGAATTGGAAACCTGGACAGATGTTTCTATCTAGTATGGGACTCCTCAGAAATGCGCGGCCATGATCTAGCCAGGGGTCAGGATTACTGAACATAAAAAACCAAATCATTTAGTGCCAAGATTCACTAAACTAGGTCCACAACTGACTATAGTTCTATGAACTAGTGAGTTTCTCAGATACAACCTAACTGTATGATTCTAATGACGTCATTCTATAAATTGAAACTCGTATGTATCAACTACATAGAGCGGATACTTGTAATCTGCAGTAACTATGATTCTCTTGATGATTACCTCCCAGGGCGTCAGCGGGAAGCTGTGTTGTTGGAAGCTGGCACTCCAGCCAATTATATTCTGTTAACCTGGAAAACCTTTTGTTGATTTCCAACTCTGAATTGATCAATTTCTGATGATATACACCATATTCTACATTCTAGCAGTCATTTAACACTGAAACATATTTTGACAAGGCGTGGTTATCATAACTGAGCCATTTACTCAGTGACACTGGTATCTGAAGCCAAATTCGACACATTTGGCTGGCGAATTGCAAAAGTGACGTCCTGCACTCTACAATTATCATTCATAACATCCAGATGACAAGTTCCAGATGGGAGGAAACGTGTGTCGTGGATTCCACTGCCAACCGCTATCCGTCCATTCCATCAAATTGTGACTAGCCTGTATATCGAGGCATCCTCACGGGAGCCCATATACCCATAGGGGCAGTCAACTTAATCCAGTGAACGACAGGGAATTGCAAGCCATAGTATCAAAACTTTACCTGCCCCACGAGGAGTGGTTATCGTGTCTCAGCAGTCTAGTAGGTAACTCTGTGTCATGTGAAAAGATTGCTCCTGGACGGCTGTCTAAATCGGATCGATTATATTGCTCTTCAAAATGTCATTTGTTTCCTTTTACACATTGGGTTAACCAAGAATACTTCACCAAGATTTCGTGTACATCCACGTGTACCATTGAAAATTCTTGACTATAGAATTGGTTGTGTTAGATACTGACATTCCATATCCTTAATAATGATTTCTGCGAAGCGATCATAGGAAAATCGGCAAACTACAATCAAGCCGACTTGGTGTGAATCTGCTTTTCTCTCATCAAGTGGTGAACAACTGAAACTCTTTACCTCACGTCCTTCTGTGAACATGTTCAACGTTGATTAGTTACTAGACAGAAGATAATTTCATTTTGTCCAGTTCCAAGTTCTGCCACCCTCAATAGCTCAGTAGTGTTATGTCACTGATTACAACACTAGAGACAACATCACAACATTTGAAATCTAGGTGAAGCACTTCCCACTATTAGACTAATTTTTAAGTTACTGTCAATGGAAAGAATATTCAACTGATATGCCTGAAATTACCTCAGCTAATCTCAGCTTACAGTTTTTAGTTATAAGGATAGTAGGCCAGTTGGCCTGTGTTAATCCTTGCAAAAGATATCTCTGTGAAGATCTAGTTTCTCCTTGAACGCGTTGACAGAAGGTACTGTTACTACTTGTTGAGGTAAGGAGTTCCACAATGGGAGAAACTCAGATTCACGCTAAGTTGATTCAATCGCGGTTTTCAAATTTTCTTGTGATGCCCTCGGAGATAGTCAGTCCTAGCAGGCGTGAAAAGATAGGACATATCAATACCGAAGTCATTATTAAGAATACGAAATACCAGTATCAGATCGCCCCATTACCTACGATAAGACAGTGGGAATAAGTTTATCTGATCTAGTCGTTCCTCATAGGACAGATTCGAAAGGCCTGCCATAAACTTAGTACCTACCCTTTGAACAAGCTCAAGTGCATCAGCATCCTTTATTACGCATGTACTGGCTGCTTGAATACAGTATTCCAAGTGAGGTCTAACGTAAGTAGAATAGAGTATTCTGAAACATTTGAAAGCACTACGGAAGGACCACAATACACTGAAGCTCTTTGATACAGCTGCATTACAGTTTGCCAAAGTTTTAAATCATCACTAATGATGACACTCAAGTTCAAAGACTGGGAGTAGTGGTGTACATATACATGTTAAGAGTAGAATAATAAAGCGTCATATAACAACAAAACGAAATCATATTGTAACTTACAATAATTGTGGATGCATATTCTTGTTTATTTGCTTATCTATTGAAAAAGTTTTATTTTCAAGAGGCTTTCTTTAGGCACTTTCTATATGTTCCAGTTATTCTTCCTCTCCAAGAATATTTTACAATTTAGATAGATTGTTGAATAAGAAATCAATTGAGCATAAGATGATGATGAAGGTGATTTTTATCCTTGTTGAGTTCAATATCGAGAAATCCACTTTTCACCTCGTTCTATTCTGTCAAGAGTCTCCCAATGAATAGTGATAATGATGATAACGATGACAATGATATTTGAGAGTTGTTATGTGTATTTTTTTTCTTTTTTTCTTTTTAAGAAAGTTATTTTTTACAAGTGCCTAATGAGTATCACTAGGATTAAACTTCTTTGAAGTTGTTGAATGAGATGTAAATCGAAGGAGTAAAACAGAATAATCGACAAAAGTGTACTTGAAATATCGATAAAACAACGAGTCTCCTCTTCCTATTGAGTTATGAGCACTACTTGAACTGAATGAAGTCACTTGAATTGTTTCAAGTTATAAAATATTCTTGTCAATGTTGTTGTTATTATGATGAATGATATATTTTTTCTTGTCTCTCTCTCTCTATCTATCCGTTATACAACAAAGTATGTACATACACATATAAACATACACACGCGGAGAAAAGTATACTCCCCTTGTATGATTGGCGGATAAGTATATCCTTGTTGAGGGGTGTTGATTATATTGACATATAACTGAGGATAATGTTGAGAAACTCCTTCGTTGTTTCACTTCACCTATGTACACATTTATGTATGTATGTATGTGTGTGTGAGCGATGGGAAGAAATTAGAAACCTCTTTTTCTTTCCTACTCGTCTGAAGTTCTCTTCCATTTGGATCACTTCATTTGGAACAATTTTATCCTTCTTTATCTCATCAAGAGGTTGACTATGAAAAATTTTAAGTACTGAATCACACACAATGAAGTTAATGGAACCACTGGGGTAATCTAGGAATCTCTGAGTACCTTTTTGAAATTCAAGAGGTTCTCTTCTACTGGATAGTTCTCCACTTTGATAATAAGAGATAATATGATATACAAAATGGTGAGATAAGTATGTTTCGAAGACTATATGTGAGTGCCACTTCTCTGACTCTTCTATTTCCCTTACTTTCTTTGGTGTTTTTTTTATTAGAACAATCAACTTTCACTCGCTGTTTCTCTTTCTCTCCTCTCTTTTCTTTTAAACCTATACTCCACCCTTGTTTGTCTGTTTGTTTGTTTTTTCAATGGTAAGTAAGCGTCTTCTACTCTCAAATCCAATGCGTTACCATATACTTTCGTATTGGTGATAATTATTATTGGCTAGTGTTTTTCTTCATAGCTAGTTAAGAAAGTTTCATTTTCAACCCCCTACCATTCAACTAGACCAAATAATTGGTTAACATGTCAACACGCATGCAAAACTGATTGGTTTACAATCTCTGATTGTTTTTCTCAATTTTTCACCAATCATATACAAATTTGGAGATGAAATTTATTTCCTTAAACTTTCCAATTAATCGATGAAACATTTTAATGGTTTGATGGCTTTTTTTATTTACCAAAGAGCTAACAGAAGTTGGAATTATGAGCATTAGATTCCGACCCAGTGGCTCAATGGTAATGCGCTGGCCGCGGAACCTGAAGGTCGCCGGTTAGATCCCTGTCAGGATCGTGGGTGCGCGCTACTGAGGAGTCCCATACTAGTCGGATGAAACAGCTGTCCAGTGCTCCTAGGTCTCCTTTGTCCTCCAACTGATGTCAGTCTACGATTAATAACAACTTTAATGAAAGAACTCCTCATGATACTACTGGTTCTAATACATTTCAGTAGTCGTACAAATGGTGGTAAGATTACTGGTTACCTGTTAGAAGCCTATTAGGAGTTCTATTCGAGAATATTTGGTTAATTGCCATCACTGAACAAACCCAGGCAATGACTTTAAATTATGATTTGACTAACTGAGATGACCGTAGTTTGTTAGACTAGTACTCGGTGATGATTGAAGGTGAGACGAAAATCTGGACCGCAGCCGTATTCGAACCAGCGACCACCGGGTTACCTGCCCGGTGCTCCACCAACTGAGCTACGTGGTTCGACTGCTGACTAGAATTTTATTTTACTTCAATCACCAAGGGTTTTTCCTATCACGTGAATTCGTGACGCGTTACTACAGCTTGATCGTATTCACACCGTCTGCTTAGTCAGGACTTCTCATCCCAATCCAAATCTAACTGAATCAGAGGGGGGGGAGCATCATATTGATTATGATTTGACTATCTGAGATAGCTGGAGTTTGGTAGACTAGTATTTGTAGCTTAGTTGATTGAGCACTGGGCCGGTATCCCGGTGGTCGCTGGTTCGAACCCGACAGCGGTCCAGATTTTCATCTCACTTTCAATCATCACCCAGTATAAATGACTTTAAAATTACTTATCTAGTTCGTCCAAACCTCCCACGTTTTATTCGTTTTCAACTCCTTAAAACAGTGAAGGTTTTAGGTAGCTTCATAAACTAAAACTTGATCTCTGTGTACAAAACTAGTATATACAGTCAATGTTTTTGTCATGGTCATAACATTTCCCCACCCATTTGTTTATTTAACTTTTGTACCCCACCTCTGTCCCTATTATTTCGATAAAAATTACCTCCGCTTTCCGTTGTTATTTCACTTAATTGTCTTAATCTTTTTACAAAATATTAATTTCATCGTAACCAACTTGTCTAGTCTTATTACATAATGGTTAATTGACCCACTTACCCCTTTCTCAGTTATCTACCTTCTATGAAGAATTCCATGTATTACTTGTCTACGTGTTATCTACGATAATTTCGTTGGTTGTGGCTAGTAGAGGAATACAGGACGAGCATTTCGTTCTATTTGGGATTCGTCAGCTGGATGTACCTGCACCCCAGTCAGTGATGTTGTTTCCACTGAGACTCGAACCTCGTACGCATAGCTTTAAACGCCAAGGCATCATAAACTACGCCACGGAGGAACAATAAAAACTTTTTACTACCCGTTGTACAAGGAGTAGTTATCGTTCCTCCGATGCATAGTGGATAACGCCTTGGCATTTGAAGTGATGCGTACTAGGTTCGACTCTCATTGGCAACAATATCACTGAGTGGGGTGCAGGTACATCCAGCTGACGAATCCCAAATAGGAAGAAACGTGCATCCTGGATTCTTCTGCTAGCCGCAACCAACCAAATCATCATAATTAACATTCAGGCAATATCAAGGCATCCGCATAGGATCCCAATTGTCAATAGAGGTGGAACAATTCGATCCACACAACAAACAACGGAGAATAACAAGTATGTCAACGAATAGTAATAACCAATTTGTTATCATTCATACTTCAAGTGTTATCATAATTACAAATGCTTACGTCACTATCCGTTTTAGTTTTATTGTCAACATCATTATATAGTTTTCCTCACGGGGTATCATTTTTCAAATATCATACATATACGGTTGTACAGCTTGAAAATAGATTCATTTTAAAGAGATACTTCGCTGAATATCTTGTTTCTGATGTTTAATTTATATCAAGTATATACTCGAAGGATATGATTATTATCAGTGAATTGATTCCATATCTTGAAGAAAGAGTGAACAGGCTGTCAAACGCAGCCGCTAGTGTGAATTCTTACCGAAAGTATTTCAGTTCAACCCAGAGTTTCTACCAGTTATGGATTCTACATTCGATCAAGTATGTGGTGAATAAGAGAAAACGGCTGTTCAACAATGCTCCAACTGACTTCTTTACGTTATGTGTGTGTGTGTGTGTTTCTACATATATCATGTAAGCGGATAGATTTCAGCGGTCATAAAACTGTGTTATATTCATCTTAGTGATTAGCAGCAGGAGCTAGGAAGCGCATTTCGTCTTATACGAAACTTGTCATTTGAATGCACCTGGACCCCAGTAAGATTCGGACTTAGTACCATCTCTTCAAACGCCGAAGAGTTAACCACTAGACCATTGCAGTATGACACATATGTTAGGTGAAATGATATCCCAAAATCACACTTTCAATATCACATCTCCATCTGCATTGTGGATTATATACTGTGTACAATTTAGTTGGTTTTTAAAGATGAAAAATTACGAAATTCCTTGAACAAATCGTCTTTTGATCATGGAAAGGATACAGTTACTAGGTAGATCGCAAACTACAACTGCATTCTAACTGATTTCATAGAATGTCGTAACTAGATGAAATAGGGTAATGGTTCGGTCTTCTCTGAAATTTGATATTTTATTGTGGTAACATCTTAGCACTAACTTCATAAAGAAGTGAAGCATATTTTAATGTTTAGGTACTGTCTCTGTTGATATTGTATACTGTCCATTTGTTTGCTGAGGAGGAGATTTCTCCCAGAGATTGACTTCTCCGACCTTGAATTCTCTTCGATCATACTAAGAGAGAAGTTATGCAATTTGTTACCGTCACCTGCTGTTCATCGTTAGCAGTTTGTTTGTTCAATTCGTCTTTGGTTGATGATCTTCCTGATTGTAGTGGACTGGATCGTGCAACAAACTGTGAGGATAGAGAAGAGAGGCATACACTGAACCAATGAAGAGACTCTAGAAGAAGATTCGGATTTCACCAACCATGATGATTTATGTCGAATGTCCAACATCGCACAAACTCAAAGATTTACAGGCAAAAACCAACAAGTTGACAGAACAGGCAGGACAGTGAAGACCACACTTCCTTCACGTGAACTTACAGAAGACACAGGTGATGAAAATATCCAACCAACTACAAAAAGAACAACAAACAACAATCACCACCAACGGGAGAAATCTAAACGAAGTTGTCTCTTCCAAGTACCTACACAGCTACCTACACACCTACCCAGACAGGCAGCATCGTTTCAAATACACACCTCACAGACACAGGTGAGGGTGTCAAAGCCAGACAGGATCGAAAAGACAGCAAGACAGTTATTCCTTCATTCATCTCAAATAATC